GCAGGCGATCTTTCCGCTAAATGGCTAGGTACAATAGCAGACAGCCTGAATTCATCAAAATTCTTTTCTGGAATTGTTTGGGTCTTAGGGATGTCCCCAAAAAACGGGAATTGCATCAAGCTCTTTTGGTTGAGAACGTCGATGTAGCTCTGCTGCAGGAAACATTGCTTAATCCGGGAGATCGTCTAGCTTTCCCGAATTATGATGTTATCCGCGCTGATAGATTAAATGGACGGGGTGGCGGTTTGGCAGTGCTAGTAAAACGTGGTATTGACTATTACAGAAGCACAAACGCTGAGATGCAGAGCATCGAGGCAACTTCGGTGGTAGTGAATATGACGGGAGATATCTCGTTGAAAATCATATCGGTATATGTCAGATGTGGTGCCAGGCTGCAAGAGACGGATCTGGAAGTCCTGTTTGACTGCTCGGGTCGGCTTATTGTAGCAGGGGACTTTAACTGTAAACATCGAGCATGGCACTCTAGGTTAAATTCCACCAGTGGGATTCGACTTTACAACCATGCGATACGAAATGGCTACCTCATACACAGCACTGAGGAGCCAACTCACCACCCATTTAATCACCTTCAGGCACCAGATGTCATTGACTTCGCGATATCTAGAAACTGTAGATTCAGTGTCACTTCTCGAATCATGTATGACATTTCAAGCGATCATCTTCCTGTCGTACTGGAAGTGGGTAATGAGCAAGCCTTGGAAGGGGACCCTCTTCCAAGGAAAAGGGTTGATTGGGAACTATACAAGTCGCTCCTTAGAGAGTTCCCCAATATCCCGATCATAGATGATGAGAGCGATATAGATGCTGCTCAAGCGGAGTGGACAAGTTCGGTTCAGCAAGCTCTGCAGCGTGCAGCTGAACTACCAGTACGACGACACGGCAGACCGTTTCTCCCTGCAGACATTCGTCAGAAAATTTCTGACAAAAGAGCTGCAATTAAGCAAGCGAAGAGGTCTTGTCACCCAGATGACATTCACAGAGCAACTAATCTTGTTCATGAAGTGAGAAATGCTCTTCATGAATTCCGTAATGAGCAATGGAGCGACTTTCTGTCGGGGATGCTTGACTCAAGTATTCCTCTCTGGAAAGTTGCAAAGTCGCTCAGAAACGGAAAGCGAGAACAACTTCCGCACATCCACGGTCCTAGAGGCATAGTCTGTAGGACAGAGGAAAAGGTCGAGGTTTTCGCTGATGCAATGGAAAGTCAGTTCTCTCCCAACGATGACCTTGATAATGACCTCGACGAGGAGCAACATATTGTAAGATCCGTCAGGAGATATTTTAGGGCCAACGGCGTCAGTGGCAGTAGTTCCTCCCTTAGTGATTTTTCCTCAGAGGAATCTTCAGATGATTCCTCAATTGAAGAGCTGCACGGCACATCAGCGAGATCTCCTGAGACTCCGCATTGCACACCAGCAGAGCTCCAAGGTCATATTAAAGACCTCAAGGTGCGTAAAGCACCTGGAGAGGATCGAATTACTAATAAGGCGCTGAAGCTACTTTCGCGGAAGTCCTTAACTTATCTCGTGGCAATAATCAATGCCATGCTAAGGACCCAGCACTTCCCAACGGCGTGGAAGACCGCCGATGTCATAATGATTCCGAAGAAGGTGGGTTCGATATTCCCTCAGGATTACCGCCCCATTAGTCTACTGTCAGCTCCTTCTAAGCTCGCTGAAAAGGTGATTCTACGTCACCTTGAATATTTCTCGGCAGACCACAATGTGATTCCTGACGTGCAATTTGGCTTTCGGTCTGAGCATAGTACGGAGCTACAGGCCATAAGGCTTGAACGAGTAACCAGCGGGTTCACCCGTAATGAAAGTACTGGCATCTTGCTGATGGATGTCTCAAAGGCATTTGACAAGGTGTGGCACAAGGGCCTTCTCTACAAATTGACCCATAAGGGCTTCCCCTTCTGGCTCCTAAAACTTTTGAAATCCTTTCTCGAGGGTAGGAAATTTCAGATCAAAATTAATAATGTTCTGTCGACAACATGGCCCATCAAAGCCGGTGCCCTCAGGGTTCGGTTCTTGGACCAGTCCTTTATTCACTTTTTATTCATGACGTCCCTTGCCCCAGCAGCTGTGAAACCTATCTCTATGCTGATGACACTGCCCTGGTGGCCCAGTCGTGCCCTGGGGATCTAGTTCACGACAGGCTGCAAAGTGCAGTGGACGAGGTATTGGAATGGGCGAATCGGTGGCTGAAAATTAATCATTCGAAAACGCAGGCAATCTATTGTACTAAAAACCGTAGCGTCGCCCCGTCTGAGGTTTCAGTGAATGGCGCTCGGGTACCATGGGAAAGCTCTGCTAAGTATCTCGGTATCACTCTTGACAAGGGGATAACCTGGCAGAAGCACACTGAAGCGTTAAAAACTAAATTCCAAATCTCGTTTCGGCAACTCTACCCTATGCTATGTAGAACATCAAAATTAAGTTTGATCAACAAAGTTCGACTATACAAGATGGTTATTAGACCAGCGATCACTTACGCAAGTGCGGCTTGGTGTTTTCTCGCCAAAACGCATTTGCGTAGCCTGCAGGTTTTGCAGAACAGAACATTGCGTACAATCACTAACGCCCCATGGTATGTTTCCAACGAGACCCTTCACAGAGACCTTGACATCCCTTACCTAAGGGACTACATCAAACAACAAGCGCAGCTACGTTACAGTCAAGCAGAATCGCATAACAACTCTTTGTTGCGCGAGTCAGTAGACTACACAGTCGAGCAAGTTCGCAAGCACACAAGGCCGCGACTCGCACTGTGAACAAAATTAAATCGTGCGACTTTAGGTCCAACCAAAATTATAATTTTTCTTCAACAACCAATCCCAAAATTAATTTTGGGATCAATTTAAAATTGCCGAATACTAACTAGCAATGCCAAGGCACCCCTCAAATTGATGCACTTCTTTTTTCTTTGCTCTCCCTCCTTCCTTCCTTCCTTTCTTCTTCCCTTCTTTCTCCCTGACTTTGTTTGGTATCTGGGCAACCAGACCTGACAGACCTACTGACTTACAAGGCTTCAACCAAGAGCAAAGGTCCTACGGACCGTTCTGACAGACAATGACGAATAGTAGTAGGACGCCTTTATGGCCTCCTCGATTGTCATAATATTATGCCTTCTTGTAAGGTACTTGTGTGTATTGCTCCAGATTTCTGGCATGCTGACAGTTCTGACTAGAGGTTATGTTGTTACTTTGACGTTTAAGAAATTTTAGACACATGAATCGAAGGCAGAGGCATAATTTTTTATTTTCTTGCAAACAATGTTGATCAGTCAATAATAATTCTCTACATTGAACAAATTCTTTGAGCCGAGGGATCTCCAAATCCCATATCTGGTATTGATGTTCTGAAAATGAACAATTTAATGCAAATGGATGGGTATTTATATATAAAAGTCCAACAGCTTACAACCAAGCTGTTCCGTGATGAAGGTAGGTAAGTTACAAAATTAATCATTGCATATTCATATTTATATATTTATCGAATTTTTTTCAGATGTGGTTCATTCTTACAGACTTTATGAGATGTCGGATAAGAAATATTGTATCTCAAGAACAACTGCATTCTTGATGTTGGAGATGCCTGTTCAAAAATCATTATTGGACTCTGGATTGCGTAGTGTCAGGCTACAAGTATGAATAATGCGTAAATGCTCTGAAATTGAGTTTAAACGTGCCCTGCCGTATCTGATATTTTTTTATATCAGTGGGAGACTTGAACCTAATATTTGAGTCTATAACTCTAAAAAATATGATTATAAGATTGCAGCCCACACCAAGGTGTATATTTTTAATGTTTCTTGAATCTATGAATCTTTTTTGCAGATATAAACCACGATATTGCATACAAAACTCAGTAAAATTCCATATTTATTTTGGAAGGATAAAGAAGCGAATGATCTTCCGAAGAATAAATTCATGCATCCAGGCACTTGAAAGCATATTTGGCGGAGCCAACCTTACAGAAATAAAAAGTGAATCTGCTTTTTGCGACTGACATGTGTTACACTGCAATTTGTAAATTAAAGGTAGGCATAGATAAGCCTGTATAATCATAAAAGTTGAAAGCTATCGAGTTCAAGAGGAGCTTTTTTAGGCATGGGCAGGGGGTTATCGAATGTCTAATGATTAATGTTGCATGTGAGATAGCTAAAATGTCACATGAAACTCGATAAAGTGCCTTTTTGAATATTGTCGACATTTCTATTTGACAAAATCTCACAAAGCTGATGCCATGGGTTTGAGATTGAATACTTGACATCACAGCACAGTGGCAAATGATGACAATCACAAAAATAAAATTTCAGTGATCCAGCAAAAATGCGATATGAAATACATCTTTTAACACTTATGGTTATATCGGTATTTAGGACTAAAACGTAAGCAATCACCATTACTTATAATAGTATTTTTTCAGATCTACTTGCATTGCTCAAAGATACATCCAATCCCAGGGTACAAGATAGTGTAAGGGACGTTATTAGAGCAAAAAGAAGAGTCCATATATTTAAATTGGATATATTTCAAAAAGTTTGGTACCTACAGTTAATTAACTTTCCAAATATGCTCTAATGTACCCCTAAACAGAAAGTTTTGTTTGTAATTGATTAGATATCCTTTTAGCCTGTTTACATATTTTGTAATTTAGAAAATAGTATCTAGTTAACCCTCTGGCGGGCGCGCCTTGTCAACTCTCATGAGTGGGCGCACTGCGGCTTTTGCACAGCATTCAGAATTTTGTAATCCACATAAATGACCTTTTCTGGAATTCTCCTTTTGGAGGGGAGATCTTAAAATTTCTTTATACGTTGTGAAGATATTTGGAGCATCTTGCATCTCTGCAGGGAGATATTTTAGAAATAGGTATGTCAACAATAATACCACTCGTTTTCAATCACCCTTTAAAGATTATTCATGACTATCATTTGAAACGTCTAAAAAATAATTAGAAAATGTTACATACCTCGATGTATATCTTTCTGATTGTCCATGGTCTGGATCTCTACTTTCATTTAGAGTTTCTCCAAATACGCTTCTACATAGGTCCACTCTGCCGCACACCAGAATTCTGAAAATATCAATGCTCGATTAAGCCTTAATTTTGCAATTTTGGATAGAATACAGATACCAAATGAGAAATATGAGAATTAGGACTAACTCTACTTAAATTCTCATGGCTGATTTTGATATATACTCAGTAAAACATTATGACAAAGTAATATTCAGCATTGCCAGACACCTAACGTGCTCCATAAATTCAGCAAGACACCTAAAGTACCCAAAAGGTACGTAAAATTTAGTTGTATTCTCTCAGTTCATTTTGAAATATGTTACTTAGGGGACTATTTTGAAACTATATTACTTAGCCAGACAAATTATGAGATCCAAACATCACGCCAAACAAAAAACATTCAGTCATGAATATGAGCGCAAAGGTTTCTCAGGAAAACCAACCCACAAACTGAGGCTATACGATTGTCCATTGATGCATTGATTCGCCTTACTTACTAAAATGTACACAGATTTCTGTCATTCATGTAATTAAGCCGAAAGTCATACCATCAGTATTTACTATGGTCCGTAATGTCAGTATTTACTGATTATCTCGCCTATGTCAGTGGATTTCTACGTTACCTAATACATCAATAATTACTGATGTCTTGGCTACACGGTCAAAGTCCGTTGATTACTGACGCCACTGACGGATCACAGTGCATACTGATTGAGTGACATTAGCCCTTCATTAGCCTAATTGTAAGTGTATTTTCCACATGACATACCCACGAGAAATGTCTAAAATGTCAACAAAATTATTGGACAATTCGGTTCGCCCTTGTTTACAGGTAACGGACACTTTCAGAAACCGACAGTGGCAGCTACCAACAAGGGGCACTGACTGTCTCACCGTTGATATGCCCTGAATTTAAATGTTCTACCTGTAAGACAAAAAATTCCGTAGCACTTGAGCTTGCTGAGTCTTCTCAGGCTGCAAACCGTGGAGAGCAGATTTTTTATTACGTTCTCTATACCCTAAAATAAAATGGCTTCCTTTACCATATTTTTAAACCAAAATATTAAGGTTTTTTTTTAATTTCCCAAAACTTTCTATAATGTGACTTACCTCGTTTTTGAGCGGAGGTTTCCAATTATGCCTGAGTTGTCAGCAATATGAACAATTGAAGACACAAGTGGCTGGAGGTGTCATGTAACAAAATCATTGTGTGGAGAAAATTGACTTTAAACATTTTTTATTGGGACGTTTTACTTTATTGACATTTTAAATATTTAGTTTAATTAGTTTGTTATTATCTTGTTTTTGCAACAAAGTAATGACAGAATGAAGGAATCACTCTTTAAGGTTAATTTAAAAAAATGTTACATGACACCTTTATCCACTTGAGTCTTCAATTCATGAAATACCAGCCTTAAAAAGAACCTATTTGATTTCCCAGCGATTTGGAGTACTTCCAGGCATGTTATTGATGTTTGTCGCGTGTTGCTTTCATTAAATATTTGACGTTTTATAAAAATTTATTTTAGTTTATTATTTCGTTTCTGTCTTAGAATGTCATGACATTGCACATTAGATTTTATTAATATGTCTTTTCAAACGAAATAGCCGTTATAAAATAACAATGAATGTAAAACATCTCATAATTCGTACCCTTAGTCGATCTAAATAAAATTAGATAAAATATGAGGTATAATTGAAAAAAGATTTTTTTTTTCATTTATCAAGCGATAGCTGCGCCCCCTAGAGGTTATGAAAACGAGTAAGAATAAAGTTTAACCTGAAATATTTTAAAATCGTGGCATATTGGTTCGTTTTGCACTACTATTCATTACTTAAGTCCTTCTTCTCAACCAGCAGTACTTGAAAATTGTAATTTAAGCTTATTTCTTAATATACCTCCAAATAAAAAGGAAAAATTGTATAGGACTTTTTATGCACTTTCCGAGCAACATAAAAACTATATCGTTGTATTTGAACGTTTCGAAAAGATAAAAAGAAGTTATGTGACTTTCTCTGAAACGACATTCAAGCCTTCCCCCACCCTAAACTGACCAAATTGTGACATAAAAAAGTTGGGTTATTGAGCGGCGAATTTTTGCCAAATAATGGCGTTTGAATTTTTGAAATTGGAATAACGCCACTTAGCGTCCATTTAAGGAAGCTGAAAATTTCTTTGGCCACTTTTGTTATAAAACTTTGTAACCGATAGCTCTAGGTGTAGGGGTTGCCGACATAAAGCCGGCGTCCTTTATTTTTGGCAAGCACGGTACATGATGCCATGGTGATATTATTCTCATTGAAACTAACAGCGATTTCGGTAAGGATAATGATAAGCATCACAGCGAGAATATGCAGCAATATCTTATACATGCAAATATTCACTATAATATTTCCTAAAAAGAACCTTTGTCGCTGTGTTCACTGAGAAAACGTGATCAACAGTTGTTCTGGAAAATGTTCATTCTCTATAAGATATTTTGGAATTACTCCAAATAGCTAAAGCAGTTTAATTGAAGCTAATATACTATTAAACTAATTTGCCTGAAAATAGCAAACCATGTACCTGTTTCATTATACTGTTTAATTAGTTTGAGTAATTTAGTTTATGTAGAAAAGGTACTTCGTGAATGCTCGGGAGTATGTTTCATTTATGACTTTCGCGAACAGTTCCATATTCGAATGTTGCCGTTGTTGGTGTATCAGCTGTGAAGTGGATTAATTATGGTGATCAAGTGAAATGCTCGAGTATAAGGCATAACCGTGATTAGAATATTTCTCGCTTTAAATGGAACACTGTGTATAGGTTAATGAAGGGCATTTATACCAAGCATGTGCTTTACTTTTATACTGTATAACGTATATATGTTATAGGAAGTCGAACCTCCTGTTTGTGTAGACTTTGTAGTACCTATTTTAAAATATCCTAGTTTGTTTAAAGTGCTGCGAATTTATTTATATATCTAAATGCGTTGAATACGGGTGAAATATTCTATCATTAGACATAAAAGTACTCGTACAATTTTTCTACATATGCACTTGATTATTATTCAGTTTCAGCTATCGCTTCCCTTTCTTTCTGAGTCTAAGAAAAATAATTGCTTCTAGTGGATGGTGATGTATTACAACCTGTTTCTGGACAAACAGACAAATATTTGGTAAAACTTGATCCCATATATATACAGGATGACTTCGAAGTTGAGTCATTTATTTTAACAGTGAGTAGATCTGATCAAAAGAAATGTTTTTTTCCTTTACCATTTTTCTGGTAAAATTAAAGTAACAAAGTTATAGCCCTTTGGAAGTTTGAGTACCGCCCTGTCTCAATAATAATATTATGTGCTCGTGTTTGGCAACAACGGATATAATCCACCTTATCGGTTCATCGCATCGGAAACAAAAAAGGGGAAGAATTTGGAACGATGTTTTTACAATTTTATTCAGTTGTATTCAGTGTCAGTCGGTAACGCGTGAGTGAATAGTGGTGTTTGCTGCGTGGCTCAAACGAAATAAAAAATGACACATGTTTATGCGGATCGGTTTCCCAATCGAGTGCAACCAACCCCTCGTGCCTTTGTTAATGTAGTACAACGGGCTCGTGAATCAGGTGACTTAAGACCTCACAGGAGAGAGCATGCCGTTGCTCCAAGACCTCACGATCAAATACAGGTCCGCACTGAAATACTTGTTGGGAGGATACTTTATAAAACAAGGTAAAATTTTTTTTTATTTTATTTTTATTTTTACACACATATTTTGGTTTATCTTCCTTCTACAATCATTATCTGAAAATTAATGACTCAACTTCAAAGTCACCCTGTATATATATATATATATAGATAATATGATCATGCGGAGAAAGGTATATAACAACAAGTAGGAAAATAATGGGCAAAATCCGCAAAAAGGAGGAAAGTGGATTCGAGCAGAATCCACTTTCCTCCTTTTTGCGGATTTTGCCCATTATTTTCCTACTTGTTGTTATATATATATATATATATATATATATATATATATATATATATAAAATAAACCAAAATATGTGTGTAAAAATAAAAAAAAATGTTACCTTGTTTTATAAAGTATCCTCCCGACAATTATTTCAGTGCGGACCTGTATTTGATCGTGCGGTCTTGGAGCCCCGGCATGCCCTCCCCTGTGAGGTCCTAAGTCACCTGATTCACGAGCACTTTGTACTACATTAACAAAGGCACGAGGGGTTGGTTGCACTCGATTGGGAAACCGATTCGCACAAATCCGTGATGCCGCGGCAGCATTTTGTAAAGACTCCCCCCCGTAAATAAGAATCATGTCCACAAGTTCAGCATTTTCGTAAACATGTGCCATTTTTTATTTCGTTTGAGACACGCAACAAACACCACTATTCATTCACGGGTTACTGAATGACGAAAAACATCGTGATAAACGTTTCAAATTCTTTCGCTTTTTTGTTTCCGATGCGATGAACCGATATATCCGTTGTTGCCAAACACGAGCACATAATATTATTATTTTGACAGGGCGGTACTCAAACTTCTAAAGGGCTATAACTTTCTTAATTTAATTTTACCAGAAAAATGTTAAAGGAAAAAAGCATTTCTTTTGATCAGATCTACTCACTGTTAAAATAAATGACTCAACTTCGAAGTCTATATATAATAGTATATAGTATATACATATATATATATATATATATATATATATATATATATAATAGGTTCACAATCAATGAAAATAAAAAACATCAAGTTTTTATTTTGATTGGAAGCATCAACTACCAAGATCAAGTTCTCCAAAAATTTTCATATCTAAGATTTGGCAGAGCACAATTATAATATACATCATTCAGTGATTGTTTTTTCAAATCTCAAACATTATCCAAAAATCCTTTCAAATCTAAATAAAATAATCCATTAAAAATAATGAATATAATGAAATTGCGTTACTAGGAGCAGGTAAACTTATTTTAATAGTCCATTAATCTTAAATAAATTAGTATAATCAATCTAAGTAAGCGGTATAATAAATTTAATTAAACGATTACGTTTTGGGTTAATTAAACTAGTTTCATTGATTTAAGTAATCTGTCTAACAAATCGGGATTTAATTAAACTAATTGAACTTGTTAAATATCACATAATTAATTAACATTTTTAATTGGTCGAATTATAATTTAATTAGTTCTTCGCTCAGTGTTCATTTAAGCAAGCCATCGGTTCTTCTTAAAACGATAAATGTTTATTTTGCTTATTACTGGAACTCTGTTTTTGGGAATTTATTATCTCGTGACTGCAACCTGTAGTGTTTGACAATAACATAAACAGTAGCAGTCAAGAGATTTGATATCATGGTAGTGTGTACGAGTATATCTAACGTCACGGCAAGGGTGCTTTCAGTTTTCACAATCGCATCTATCATGACATTTAATGTCACGATAAACAGTCGCACAAAATTGAGCTTCTATAATAGATAGATCACTCCTTCAGGATACGCACCAGTAACTGGAGTAGAAACGCTCGAGAAAGGTACTTGAGGATTTAGAAGATTCTCAAATATTTTCTTGTTTACAAGAGATAGCATAGAGTGAATAGAAATACTCTAGTAGGTAGTTTAGCTTTATAGATCTATACTTAGCATGTATTTTCAATTTAATTGCAAATAAGATATATATATATATATATAAATTCAGATTTGCTCTCTCTCTCCTACCCTGATGTTTCAGCTCTTTAAAAATTTTCCTTAATACCTCCAGGAATTGGGATACGTCGAAGATTGGTTTGATTTTCGTTTCTCTATTTATTTATCACTTTTCGTTACGCCAAAATACAGTTTTTTGTCCTTGTCAGAGTGGGTAGTGACCTTTTGTCAAAATTATGTAAAATTCAGGTGTCGAAGCATTAAGTAAAATTCCAAAAAGTGTTAAAACGGTCCTTGCTGGATTTTTCATCAACATGTACGTTTGCAAAGAGTGAGCTCTGGAGAACCAAAATGCTCTTATAACCATATTTCAAAAGAGGACATTACGGTTTTTCGAAAGGTTGTCTAGTTGTGCATCAAAATTTTCATCACATATTGTTGTCGCTTACCTTCCAGTTTGTCTAGCTGTTGTCGTTTTTGTAACCATGCAATCTCAGTGTGTTCCAATTTTTGGCGTTAAGTGTTAAGAATCGATCTAGTGGCGACGAGGTAATGTGTAAGAAACAAAAACAGTTCCCAAACTACGGCCCTGTAACGAACTGTAAGTGAAAAAGTTTTTTCTTGTTCTGTTACTGGTACTGATCGATGACCAACTGGCGAGATCCTCATTTTCAATATCATGGTGATAAATAAAATAACGTAGAACATCCATTACTTAATATTGTCACTACACTGTTTCTATTTTATTTACATCGAGTATGCGAACAGAATTACATTGCTTTTTTATCTTTTTTTTTGTACAAACAATACGCTTTTATTTTCCTTTTTTCCATTTTGTTTTCAAGATTGTTTTTTTCTTTTGCTTGCTTTTTATTTTATTTTCTTACTTTTGATATATTTTTTATTTTAAACTTTTTTTTTTAATATTTTCTTGCTTTCATTCATTTTTTTAAACAAATTTACTGCCATTTACATCTTACAATCTGACGCCTATTTTTCGACGATGCTTGTTTCGGTAAAATTTGATACAATTCGGTATTTTCTCTATTAGAACGTGTACATTCTAATATGAGGAGCTGTAAGGTCCCTATATTTCCGCAACTGTAATGTGAATCATTTCCGTATCCAGTTCTTGACTTATGGTGGACATTACCACTTTTGATTCTACTCACGATTACCCGTATAATGTAAAAACGGTAATTCCTTGAAACCAAGGTCTGCTTCTAAGAGTCTCTTGTATTCGTTTCAGGTTACTTCCTGTTGGACTGCTTTTGCAATGGTTATTCCATTTATTCCTTAGTCGTTGCCTGATTAGAAAATGTACATCACTTCTACAGTCGGTAAAAATGCCAAAATTGGTATTTCCCTGGAATTCAAAACAGTATTCAATAGCATGATTGATCGCGACCAGTTCTGCTGTGTATGCAGAATATTCAGGTGGTAACTTCAATTCTTGGTGATAGGAATTGTTGCTGTGATAAATTGAACATCCCGTAAATTTTCTTTCTTCCCATCCACTACATTGTGCTTGAATATCATGCCGGAATTTTCAAGGTGTTGATAAATCTAGTTCGGAGTACTCCGTATAGATAACTTCGGGTGAAGAGCTATACCTGTATGCAGAATATTCAGGTCTGTAACATAGATTGACTTGACTAAAGTGTACCTTCTTGATGGTGGGAAGAGGGCACTCATAACTTTCTACGATCAATACTTCGCTGTTAGTCCATAAATAAACAACTCGTGGATCTTATTAATGAATCCCTTGCTGACCAATATAACCAGAGCTTTGTCGCTCAACTTGTACCATCTCAATTGAAGTGAAGGTTTAATACATTCGACCTCCATGACAATGATGGGAGTGCTGTTCAAATACTCAATACTCAGCCTAAGGCACTTATTTTTGATCTGTTCTATTTTTTGAATTCATGGTGCACTTCTGCAAAATATTGATTCGTAGAGCTATATTGATCGAACTAAAGTTCTGTAGAAAGTTAAGCATACTGCTGGATCTGCACCCCATTTCCTATGTGAATAGGCCTTCAGACTGTTGAATGCATTCTTTCTTCTCTTTAGAATGTATGCAATATGTTCTTTCCAGTTAAGTTTTCTATCTAGCATAATTCCCAGATATTTGACAGAAGTTTTATATGATATATTCTGTCCCGCCAAATTGATGGTATTTGAAGGACAATGGCCGGATCTGGTAAACGTACATATACAAGATTTTGAGTAGGCAATGGAAGATCCATTATTCTCAAACCATTCTTGTGCAATAGAAGTCTCTGATTATGGATGTTTCATAGATTGGGATACATTTTTGTTCTGGGTGTTAATGCCATAGTCATTTGCAAACTGGCATATTTTATAACATCTTTCGAAACAAAAGCTCTTTCAAAGACATATGATTTAAACACGTCGGCAGTTGGCACCCCTTTTTGCAATACCCTTGATACTTTCGAATATTTCTACAGTTCTAAGAGGGGTGCGACAATAGTTCTGCAATTTTTGTTGCGGAATTTTAAAAAAGTGAGCTCTGAGCTGTGAATTCTCACGGTAGTGAATAGCTTTACAGTTCTCAATAGTGACTTCTGCTTTTGAAATTGTACTGGGTATTATACTAGAGGTATCTAAAGGGGGTGCGATTTAACACTTTTGTGGGAATTTTTGGTATTTCGGAGGTATTTCTCCACATTTTCCCTAACCAAGGGTAGTTTTTTCTTATGACATCCCCGAGTTCTGCATATGAAATTGTACAGAATATTATGCTAAAGGTATTTGAGGAGGGTGCTGCGCTAGAACTCTGCGTTTTTTCACTTTTATGAGAACTTTTGAGGTTTCCAAGCTATTTTTCGATGTTTTTCCCAACAAGGGTAGTTTTTTCTAATGGGATCCTGGACTCCGGATTTGAAATTGTACTGGATATTATGATAGGGGGTGCTGTGCTAGAGCTCTAGTATTTAACTCTGATGTGGGAATTTATGGTATTTCGGAGGTAATTCTCCACATTTTCCCTAACCGAGGGTAGTTTTTTCTTATGACATCCCCGAGTTCTGCACTTGAAAATGTACAGAATATTTTGCTAAAGGTATTTGAGGGGGGTGCTGCGCGTTTTTTCACTTTTATGTGAATTTTTGTAGTTTCCAAGGTATTTCTCGTCGTTTCTCCTAACCAAGGGTTTTATAACCGCAGTCCCAAGTTCTGCTTTTGAAATTGTACTAAGTATTATGCTGAGGATATGTATACCTATATGCTAGAACTGCTTTTGTGGGAATTTTTGGTATTTCGGACGTATTTATCCTTATTTTCCCCAACCAAGGGTAATTTTTTCTCTTAGAATCCCCAATTTCAGTGTTGGATTTTTTTTAATTTCGGAAACTTTGCAGAACTCTTGCTAAAAACTATTGAGAACTGTAGAACTTCTAAGTACCTCGAGAATCCACAGCTCAGAACTCACTTTTTACGTAAAAGGGGTGCGGCGTGAAGTTAGCACAATAACAATTATTGTTAATTCTAAAAAGTATTAGGGTAAATCGAGATTATATGGCCATAGAGGAGAGATGGCCCAACTCGATATTTTCCTAAATAGTTATTAGAGGGCGTTTTTTCCACTATGGCGTAATGTACTGTTGTGTGATCGTGCTATACTAGAAACTCTGAGTCAATTAACTAAGTTTAAAAGTAAGTTATTTTAAAATTACTGTTTACATGGGTTCAATAGTTTTTTAATACAATTTTCCACTAGCCAAATTTCATAAAATTTTATTAGTCTTCAACAATCCGTCTAGTGCTTATTTTACCATATGTGGTGTGTTTTGTGTTGCCTAAGCATTTTACTCGAATTAACGTATATAAAATCTAAATCATGCTATGGCCATCTTTACTCGAAGAAAAGGAGATATGGCCCACTTATTTCCTATGTAAGATGGCCATCGTAGAGAGTTTGTATTTAGTTTAGATGCCAAATATTTACAAAAGAAAATCATTGGAGAGGGCCAAATGGACCGAGGAGCAACTAAAATCTGCAATGAGTACTGTTAAAGATGAGGAATTATCTGTACGTCAGGCTGGAAAAACTTTTGGTATTCCGAGAAAGACATTGGAAAAGCAGATTAAACAGAATGAAGACCATAAGAAAAAATTGGGTCCAGACACTTCTTTCGGGGCTGCACATGAAAACAGACTGGTTCGACATATTAAAGAAATGCAAAAAAGTGGATTTCCACTTACTAGAGATGATTTGCGAACCATAGCTTATAAATTTGTTGTTCAGCTGGGCTTGAAACATAAATTTAATAATGAGCTTCAGAAAGCTGGTTACGTTTGGCTGCATTCATTTCTCATCAGACATCCACAAGTATCAGTTAGAAAAGCAGAAAGTTTGTCGTTGGCGAGGTGCACAGCAATGTCTAGAAATGTAGTAATTGATTACTTTAAAGTACTGCAGAGTGTTCTGGAAGAAAACAATCTCTTGAAAAACCCGAAAAATATTTTTAATATGGACGAGAGTGGATTACAATTAAATACAAGACCGGGGGAAGTTTTGGCAGTAAAAGGATCAAAAGTAGTTTCGTCAGTTACCATGCCCTACCCTAAAATATTATATTTTTTGTTAAAACCCAATTATTAAAAATATTACACGATGAAAAAAATATGGCCATCTTTCCTCGGTTTACCCTAATATAATTGGAGTTTTGTAGGTTTAGTTTTCTATATTTGTTATGTATCGTCATTCATATCGTCTAATTTTTTTCAGAAATTAAGTGTTTTTATTTCGTGTGGTACTAGATTATTTAATTTAGCTGCTACGAATTTAAATGATATTTTGAATAATTTTTTGTGTGGTCTTTGGATATTAGATGAGCCTATTCGAAATCCTGTGTTAGGCTCGTGTTTATGAGATTTTTTTTATTACAATGCTTATGGTATAAAGTGGTGGCATGTAAGAATTACAGTTGTCTAGTATCAAGTATCCCTGTTTCCTGATATAAGTTGTTCGTCGGATATAATCTTGGCTTATGGAAAATAGCTTTCACAACAACTGTTTTTGTGCTATATCTAGGTCAGAAATATGTGTCTTGCAGGCGGTACCCCAGGCTGTGTGCCGATATATTGTCATAGTTTTCTACTTCTCCCTGTCAGCGCACAAACATCTATTTGCATCAAATTGTGCTTGCTTTTGAGTTATATCATGTTTTATCAGCCTGAAATTTCCTACAATTTAAAAAGAAAATATATCTTCACAATAGGAGAGCGCTGACGCTGACACGGGACAAGTGTAATATAGAAATTTTTGAAGGAGGGAAAGGAGTATGACAATCAAGGAGGCCATAAACGCGCCCTACAATTGTAGGGACGACTGACGATACGGGCCTAAGGCATGGTAGGTACATGAATCGTAGGTAACTTTCTGTTTCGAGTTTATAGCCAACATTTCTAATTTTTTAGATAACATATTTAATATGGTTATCCCACCTTGAATGTGAGTCTATAAATATTCCAATTCTATTGAATTTTATTTTTTGGCCATGATAATTAACAGAAATTTGTTCGAAGCTAGGTGAAAATTTGGAATAGGATGTGAATGCAAGAAATTTTGTTTTTTGAAGTTAACTGTTAAAATTTTACTATCAAACCAGTCAATGATCCTTATAAAATCCTTTTCAGCGATTTGCTTTAGTGTGCTCCAGTCATCATCTTTATATAATACGAGGGTTGCTCCAGTCATCATCTTTATATAATACGAGGGTGTCGTCTGCAAAACATATAATCTTTCCAGTACTGTTAATTTTGAATAAATCATTTAAGTAGAGATTAAATAATAGTGGGCATAGTACTGTTCCTTGAGGACACCACACTTGATGTACATTTTCACTAAAAGTGTTAGAGATTTTGACAGTCTGTGCCCGATCTGAAAGGTAATTTTTTAAAAGGATTGGTGACGTTCCCCTAAATCCCAATCTTTCCATAACTCTCAGAAGCTCGACATGGTTTACCGTATCAAAGGCATTTTTTAGGTCAACAAAGATACCAATAGGAGGTATTTTTTGTCAACATTAGAGTTAATTTCATCCATTGCAGGCAAAATTGCGACTGTAGTAGATTTCCGTTTTCTAAATCCATATTGGTCAGAACATATAATTTTGTTTTTGACCAAAAGTTGTAATATCCTTTTTTGTAATAACTTTTCGAAATTTTTGGCTATATTCGATAGTACTGATATGGGACTATAATTTGATGTTTCTATTCTGTCACCGCTTCTATAAACAGGAGTGCTGTTGTTTTAAATGCATCAGGGCAAATTCCAGATTGGAAACTCCAATTAATGACTTAAGAAAGTGGTTCGGCTTAGTCGTCGGCTATTATTTTTAAATGCTCAGCCTTGATACCATCTATACAAGGACTTTTTTGTTTTTAAGTGATAGTACAGTTTCTTGTAATTCAATCGGACTAACGCTTTCTAAAAAAAAAATAACTGAGAAGTTGGGTTTTTGGGAATATGGCGTTCAAAACTTGGATCAGATTTGGCATCTTGTATTTTTTTTTATTTAATTAAATTAAATGCACTATGCATGCAACGAGTGTGTTTGCAGCATCATTAACATTTGTTGCACAGTACACTGATGTCCACGATTCTAATTTGATATTGGCAAGTAGTTTTCTTGTTATCGACAAAACAGCTAAATTTCACTGTTTCATTATTGGAGGTGGGGAGTCCGTTCCTGATCGTTTTACTGTTAGCAGCCAGTGAACCGAGCTCTGACTTAAATCATTCATAAGTAGTGAAATTCAAATTGTTTTAATACAAGTGCATCATCGATACACCTATAGATACCAGTATCAACATACGCTGTGAGTAATATTTTGTAATTGTATCCAGCAATCTACAAATCTCAGCAAACAGAAATTCCTTTTTCCGCGAGCAAACAGCGTTCCAAAATAAACACATTTCTGCGGACAGGACCGTATCGAGATATGTTACAGCAACTCATTCCACCAGATGAGTTCAACTGATAGATCCGATATGGACCACCCAACTACACCAGAAAACAATACTTCAGTTCAATCATACTCTCAAATTTTGAATAAAAACTCAGTAAAATATCCAAATAAAGAGCAAGCTATCATTTTCAATGCTATTGATGGATTAAAGATCCAAGACTACTTATTGAAACTGGGCCCAATAGTGAACCCAAAAAACATCTTATTCTGCTCTAGAATATCAAATAACAGAATATGTATTTACCTAGCAAGTAAACAAATTGTAGACCATTTCCTAGGGAATCCTGGTGAGATCATCATTAATGGAGAACCAATAAAAGCTCGCAGACTTATTACTCCCTCTGACAGATTAGTGATGTCTAACGTATGTCCTACCATCCCACATAAAGTTCTAAAGGATCGACTTGAGCAAATAGGAGTTAAACTCATCTCACCCATCACCTTTCTCAAGATCGGGGCAGCATTACCGGAATACAGCCATATCTTGAGCTTTAGACGTCAGGCGTATATAACACCTGATGAGCACAACCTCATCCCAGAGTCCTTAGAAGTCACCCACGAAGACTTGACTTATCGCATATTTCTATCACTAGATAGTCAAAAATGCTTTAAATGTAAACTCACAGGACATATCGCATCTCAGTGTCCATCCACACAATCAGACACACCTGTATCCCAGCAGACAAACTTCAACCACAGCCAGCAATCAACAGCAGCTACACCAAACCCACAACCTAATGTCACCAGCTTCTCTACACCTATAACAAGAGCCTCGACCTCCGAAGACAGCCCAAACCAGATCGAGACAGAATCTAATAAAATCAACACAAGCTCAAACACACAAACAAGTAACAAACGTAGCCTTTCTGAAATATTATCGCCGACAACTGAACTTGAACCTACACCTCCAAATACTGGATATCCTACTTTCGCTACACCAAAAAACATGAGTACAAAGAAACCTAAAACAGACAACCAACCACAGCACATAGCAGACAGTGCTTTCGAATCAGTTAAATTATTCATTGACAACCAAACGCCACCACTTGTATTGAACTCCGTCCAATTGAAAAGTCTACTGGAAAATTCGCATGGTGCAAAAGAAATATTTAACATTGTCAATGATCATTCATCCGACTTCAAAGGAATAATAGAAATGCTTCTGCTGATTTATCCACATATCACAGACAAAGCACTAAAAAATCGTTGCACAAGATTAAGAAAGAAGATGGAGAAACACCTCGAAAATAATTCTAGTGATCTTCTCAGCGACACCTCGTCCGTAGACTCTACCTTTTAATATAAAATTCAAATCTATAATACAATGGAATTTAAATGGATATTATATCCATTTAAATATGCTGCGCAAAATAATTGCCGATCACACACCAGACATCATCTGCCTACAAGAGACACACTTCCATCAAACAAAAACACACACACCAAAAGGCTACAAAGGATTTTTTAAGAACCGTGATACGCCTACAGCCAGTGGAGGAGTTGCAATATACATACGGTCTGAAATACCTACCAAACCAATAGTTTTAACTACAAACTTAGAAGCTATAGCCATTACCGTTGAATCAACGGAACCAATCAACATATGTTCCATATACATACCCCCAAATTATCACCTCGAAAGTAATGAAGTTGAATCATTACTTCAACAAATACCATCACCTAAAATAGTTGTTGGCGACTTCAATGCACACAGCCACACATGGAATTCATATAAAAATGATACTCGAGGTAATATGATAAAAAATGCAATGGATTATGCGAATATGATAGTTTTAAACGATGGCAGCAGCACTAGATTAGATTCTGCATCAGGGCGTTTTTCTGCAATCGACCTTAGCATATGCTCACCAATTTTAGTAACACAATTACAGTGGAATGTTGCTGATGACTTATATGGAAGCGACCACTTTCCCATAATAATAAGAAACACAAATAAGGAAGTCACCAGTACTCCACCAATTGAAAAATGGAATCTAAAAAAGGCTGACTGGAACTCTTTCTCTCACCACATTGATACTAATATAGAGAAAGTCAAAGTTTCCAGCAACATCAACTCAACTCTTGAATCATTCATGGAAGTTATTAAGGAAGCTGCAAATCAATGCATGGGTAAAACAAAAATTTTACATAATAAGAATCCAGTTCCCTGGTGGAACGAAAATTGTGAAAAGGCTATACGTGAAAGCAAACAAGCACTAAACAAGATGCGAAGACATAAAACAACTGAAAACTTGTCTGAATTCAAACATAAGCGAGCTAAAGCACGGTTAATAATAAAAACGGAACAAAAGTTATCATGGAGAAAATTCGTGACCAGTATAAATACTTCTACTAACGTATCAACAGTCTGGAAAAAGATAAAGAGCATGTCTGGAGCCAAATCACACACAAATATTGAGTTACTGAAAGAAGGGTCTCAAATTTACACTCAAAGCAATGATATTGCGAACGTTCTATCGAGGACCTATTTTAGAAACTCCAGTGATGAGAATCTCAACACGCAATTCCTTAACCAGAAAAGACACTCTGAAACGGAAATTGCTACAAATAAAGACACCTCTAGTCCAATAAATACACCAATCACTAAACAAGAAATGGAAGAAGCCCTTCTTGATTTAAAAGATACAT